AGCCAGTTGCCCAAAGACGACTTGGACTTCTTGAGTGCGGACGATATTCGTGCGAACATGGCCGCAAGAAGGAGCAAGGTCCTGGACGAAGAACGTAGAAAAGCGGATCGGGCTAGATTGGAGAGCACTTTCGAGAGCACCCCCAAGGCAAAGACCGGTATGGATCCGATGCTTGAGTCCAAGATCATCAATGACCAATACGTTCGTCGAATCGAACGGCAAATGCAGCGGCCAGAGATCTCGTTTGATTCACAAGAATCCAGTGAGCCCAGAACAACTACAAAGATGGACGAAACCCCATACAAAGCAGACGAAAGCCAGTTGGAGTCGAGCGTCGAACGGATGAAGTCTTGGCTTGAAGAAAGCGGTGCAAGATTCTCTAGTCTTTTCTGGCAAGACCCGACCGAAGAAGCGGATGCGAAGAAAACCCGCTTGTTCTTCGACAAGATCCTGGCACGTATTCGCAAGGGTCGCACGACGATGAAGCAAGTGGTCGAAGACCTAGAGGCAGACATTCCAGCATCTAAACCTCTCTTGAGGCGTATGAAAGCGGATGAAGACCTCCTGGACTCTGCTATCAACACTCTACGACAACGCTCAGAAATCGGAAAGCTTCGTTCATTGACGCCGAAGAAAGTAAGGGCAATTCAAGAATTGCGTCTCCGGTACCAGAGCACAGACAACGACCTTAATAAGGCATACGCCTTGCTCCAAGATCTCGGCGACTCGGACGCAACAAAGAACGTCTCACCAGCGTTCAAAAGGCGCCTGAGCATTGCGTCGAAGATTACCCAGAAGAACGCTCACCTTACGCGTTATCTCATCTGGAGTCTACAGGCCCGGCTCGAGGACCCGGAAATTGATCAGAGCATGCTCGCAAACTACAAAGCTGTTGCGAACAGTTTGCTAACTCTTAGAGATACACAGATGGCCCTATCTCGATTGCTGGAACGTGCCATGCTCGTTTACGGTGTGGCTCCACATCTCTGGGAGGACATTAAAATCTTTCCCGACACCCCAGCTCTGGAAGTTCCGCAGGAACGTGAGCAGTCATCTCAGACCAAGACGTCTTCCGCTATGAGTGATGCCGACAAAGCCCAGCTTCGTGCCAAGGTAGCTGCTGAAGAACGTCTCGCCCATGAGGTCGATGCACAGAAGTCAGCTATGCGTGGACTCTCAGATGATGGATACGCGCGTATGCCGAAGGCAACACCGAGCAAATCGTTTGAAGAGCGAGGACCCCTTGCACACAGCCTGTTTAGACCATTCGGACCCGTTTTGGAGAGCTTAGAGAGTGAAACGCCATCTAAGATAGGCGCAACAGAGACCGACGTGAAGGTGACCCACGAACGTGACGACTACGAACTGGCTGATAACATGCAAAACTCAAACGAGGATAGGTCTGGTCCTGTCGCCACTGATCACGAGCAGCCGGCCTGTCCGGTTAAGGAAAGCAGATTGACTGAAGATCATGACGTGAAGAAGTTTGACATGTTGAAGGAGGATCCTACAATGGACGACGCCTCATATCACGCCAGTGGCACAACTACCGCAGATACCGTGCGCGGAGAAGAAGTCACAGCGATCGATGCAGCCTCAAAAGCTACACAAGAAATCTTTACCGCTGACCACACTACTCCAACGACCGAACATGCCACTGTAGACCCGAAACCGAGCATTGACGATGCTGTTGGTGAAACACCTCCGTCAGGCGCATCATCGCATTCGCCAGAACCGGGCTCACCAACGATCTATACAATCCTTTTGCACGATCCGCACAGCGGCAAGCTTTCGCTAACTACCTCTACAACAACGGAACCCCACAAGGCCCCTCCTATGATACCACTACATGAAGCGCTATCAACTCTCGAAGAGCCCGCTAAGTTCATTCCGTACATCGAGAATGGTCTTGAGATAGTCAAAGCAAACAAGTATTTGCTCGTCTTGCGCGGCGGTCTCAATTCCACAGCGTCTACCAGACCCTTCCAAACGGCCGATCCATCAACCACAATGGAGCAGAACAAGGACGCTGGCATCACAGGAGAAAGAACTTACATCAATCCGATAGATGGAACGGCACGCCTTTCGCCTACCGGCTACGTTGGGCCAGAAGAGAGCGAAGAGCAACTTGAGAAGGATTTCACTGAGCGCAGGCAGGCTGCCGAGCGAGCAGTTAGTAATCAAGAGAGCAGCACAGAACAAGACCGGAGCGGACGAACGACCAAAGATAAGAAGAGGGGCGGTAAAGCAGCGGGTATAGTCAAAACGGCCATCTGGGCCTCGGCACTATGCTACGTGGCCGGTGTGATTGGGGAACTTGCTAGTTAAGACGCCTTTCGCGGCATGGCATCCACTTCACGTGTCGCTCTTTTCAAACGACGTCTGTTCAGGGTTGCTATCATCACTTTTCGATTCAGCGTTCGGTTGGTGTTGGTGTTGGTGTTGGCGTTGGCAGGTCACCACCCCGGTTCAGATTATATACATATGTATATCACCTGCTTCGATACTCTGTTTCTCAATCTTACATATTCTGGAGGACCAAATACTTACTCAAAATGCCTTGATATATCAGAGCAATCATACAGACTGCTAAACTACAGCACCGCTCTAGAGGGTCATACCCTTGAAGGCCCTCGCGATAAACGTCACGGCCCCTTCAATGTATTCAGGACGGATGTAGGTCAAGTGATAGAACTGACAGGACCCAGAGTCACAGACCTACATCTCATGGTCAGCATGGTCTGTTTCCCACCCTCGTACAACACGATTGATAGACTTACAGGATCGCCCTTTGCACAAATCTGCAGCACCTTTGCCTTCAGACCATTGGGGAACTTATCTCCGACTACGCCCAGCCTCAAATTTGGGTCTCCAAACATGACAACCGACTTGATCTTGGGGAACAGAGAAGTAGGCAGTCTGTCTGCAGCTCGGTGCATGATGCTTGCGCCTTGCGAGTAGCCGACCAGAGAAAAGGTCTGATTGGGGCAGGCGGAAGACTGCGCGGTCAAGCGCTGAACAATGTCATCGACGCCTTGCCGTCCACCAGAAATGATTTGCGAGCTGGCTGGGTACTGAAATGAATTCAGTTGGTGATGCTATGTTCGAAACACTACTTGGATATCGTACCTGGACCGGATACCCCTGTACTCCAGACAGTTCCGCTGAAACGTTGCTCACAATAGGGTCACCAACGATGACGCCGTATTTTGGGAAGCTAGGCTCGCTGGTCCCGCGAGCTAACAACATGGTCAATGTTGCTGTAGATATTTGCGGTCATTGAACTGCAGCTTACCAACGAGTATCTCGTAGTCGGAACATCCTCTGGGGACATCGCCAGGAACGATCGGAACCGGCTCCCCGATTTCCACACCGCTATTAGGCAGCTCGGGACATTCCTCTTGGGCAGAAGAGGTGGCAAAGAATGCAAAGGCCAAAAGAGGAGCAATAGAAGTGTAGCGCATCTTCGTGGGCAGTGAACTTGATCAGCTTGTGTAGAACTTGCTGTTACGCATATGTTGGCAGGAGACAACAGTGCCTTATAAGTTCGCCCATCTCGAACACAACTTCCATCCCTATCAAACGTCACAGGAAGATACGACAAGGTTGAGTGGCATTGTGTCGTTGAAAGATTGGATGACTGTGGTGGCTGAAATGGGACCTCGGCAACTGTGACATGTTTGACAAGGGTGTCGATGGTGTTGCGATCATCTGCACAAAACATCCTCTTGGCTTTGTGAACCTTTAATCTATTCGATTTTTGTACCGAGGCATGATTGCAGCCAGTTGATGACCAGGAATGAAGTATCATGGGGAGTTGTGTACGTTTGACAGTAATGTGTGGTAATATCATGCGCGTTACACCAATTGCGTTCTTTCGAGTTGCTCACGGCTACAGATCATCAATCTTAAATACAGTCGTCTTTTATCTAGGTCGAAAGCAATGACCGTCAGTATGAGGTGAGTACATGCCTGAGGTATCGATATGGCTGTGGTTGCAACCGCAAAGGCTACAGTAAGCAACAGTTCATCGCCGTGGCGGGACGCCTAATCCCGTGGTCCCACGTCTTTCTGCATGGACGGGTGCAAACGACGACAATCCCAACCTAGCTTTCAATCACGGCAAGCCAAGCCCGATCAGACGCAAGGACCTGCGACACAATACGATGAATCCAACCTTGAAAAGATCTCGTTCGCGTCGAATTGCCGATGCACCCCAGACGATCTAAGAGTCATGCAATCATACACAATAAGTTGCCGAGGTGCGTCGAATGCTCTACGAGCAGCTATTGGTGTTTCCAAAGTCTTCCAAGGTCAGTCCAGAACTACCAGGAGTGAGGTTTAGGACAGGCCCTGTATCTTATCTGCTATCTCACACACCAACTTCTAATCTTAGGCTTTACTTTTCCCCCCAGTGTCTTGGTATAATACTACGATCTTGGCCCTTTGAAGAGAGTCTCCTCAGGCTCTAGCTAATTGGGTGGTGGAGAGGAGTAAGAGCTGCCTCGGCTCAGGCACCAACGTCGGCGAACTGCTCTTGGAATACACCAAGATATTGATGGTGAGACGGGATCATTCACGTAGAGAGGAGAGCGTGGGATGAGAAGGAGGGTTGAGCAAATCGTGTGTATAAGTATGAGGCATCTTCACCTCACAACCATCCGGCAAGCTTCAACAACGAGTTCCTTCTGCCTTTCACTCACTCTCGCTCTCTCTGTTCGCCTTCGCCTTCGCTTTTCTACGCCGTAGTCTCTTTACCAAACACATCTTTCGCTCTTACTTTTATCATGATGAACACCATCATCTCCATCCTGGCTTTGGCCATCGCCTCTTCTGCCACGCCTATCGCGCTCCCCAACTCGGGGTCTGCCGTGGTTGCGACACGCCAAATCTTCTTTGACCGCACCAGCTTGACCGAGAATGAGTTCTCCAGCCGGCTCGGTGGCGGATGTAGGGACGTCATCTTTGTTTGGGCTCGAGGATCCACTGAAGCGGGCAACATGGTAAGTTATTCGAGAAATGAATGCTTGTGTCTTGGTTTAACATGAGAGGATAGGGCTCTATCATCGGTCAGCCACTTGGCGATGAGCTGCGCCGCGAATACGGCGACGACCTGGCTATTGAGGGCGTCGACTATGCAGCGCTGCTTTCCACCAACTATCTGCCCGGTGGCACCGATCTCGTCTCTGAGCGCGAGATGCGCGGCATTCTCGAAGACATCAACAGTCAATGCCCTTCGGCTATCATCGTCTGCGGTGGCTACTCGTATGTTTCGCCCTCTTCTTTAAATCATGCAAAGACTAACCATAACCACAGTCAAGGCGCAGCAGTCAACCACCGTGCTATCGAGGATCTCTCCGCCAGTGTCAAGAACCAGATAGCTGGTGTCGTTACCTTTGGCGACACCCAGAACCGCCGTGACAACCAGCAAATCCCCAACTTTCCCCGCGACAAGCTCCGAATCTTTTGCGGTGGGCTCGTTCGCGACACGGTTTGTGACGGTAACCTCGCAGGGGCTGTTCTACTTCCTCATCTCAGCTATGGCGATGACGCGGAGGAGGCTGGCGAGTTCTTGATTGGAAAGATCAATGCGGTTCGTGCCGCTAAAGCTTAGTTTACTTTATGTGAACATGAAAGGCTTTTCTCGTGCTTTTAATTTCTAGAGGAACGCCTAAGGCTTAGGGGGGTAGAAGGGTAGAGAAGGCGAAGTAAATGCAAAATCAAACAAACAACCCCTTAACCAGCCCCTCAACAGCATCATATACCTGACCTTCCTTCTGCCCACCAGTCGCTCTCTCAGTGATCACCGGAATCTGATCCTTGCCCACCTTGTAATTTCTCAAATCGCTATCCAGCTCCAGATCCTTCACCAACTTCAGCACCCTATCACCTACCTTCTCCGCATCAGCCTTGGCATCACCAGACGCCGATTCGCCGATAAAAGGAAGCAAACGAGCAACTTGCTCCGCTGCAGCAGGGTCTTGAGCTTTGAGCTTGACCACATGTCCGAGAGTGAGACAGGAAGTAATGCCATGCGGGATACTATAAGGAGAACCTAGTGCGTACCCCAGAGCGTGTGAGAGGCCTAGACCGCCCTTGATGTTGTAACCCAAAAAGCCCAGGGAAGCGAAAGCAGCGAGTTGAAGCTTCGTGATCACATCTTCGTCTTTGGGGTTTTGCTTGTACTTTGGCAGGGCTTCGAAGAGGGTGGCCGCGGACTGTAGCGTTAACCATCTGGCAGGCATCTCGGTGGCGGTGGGATGGTATAATAGCTCGATAGCATGATCCATGGCACGGAGACCTGTTGACATCCACAGGCGCTCGGGGGTATGCAGGGCGAATTTGGCATCGTAGATTACGCAATGAGGAACGAGTTCTTTGGCTCGCACGCCTGTCTTGACACCATCGGATTGCGTGTAGCCAGCCATCAGGGTGCACTCACTTGCGCTGAGCGTGGTGGGGATCGCGATGTGGTATAGGTACTTTCCAGTCTTCTCGTTCAGACGATAGCTGATGGCTTTGGAGCTGTCGATCGGGCTTCCGCCGCCAATGGAGATGACAGTATCGATGCTTTCGTCTTTCTTGACTAGGTCGGTGGCTTCGTCGAGTTGGGCGACAGGTGCGTGTTCGCCGATCTTGGAGAAGGTGCCGGCGTGCTTGCTTCCCAACAGCTCTTCGACTTGCTTTACCAAGGGCGTTTTGCTAGCAAGTGAGTTTCCGGTGATGATGAAGGCTTTGCTTGACTCTTTTGGGAGGCATGAGAGGAGATGCTGTTTGACTGAGTCGGCGCCGTAGTGTAGTTTCTGGAGTTGCGTCGGTTGCCAGAGACCGGAGAGGGGGTGGTTCGTTGCGTCTGTCATCTTGGGTTTGGTTTTAGTCGAGCTGAGTCGAATGCTCAAAGGGCGTCGGTATTGAGTACCAGATGGGCCGATCCCGGTGGGTGTACAAAGCGGAGAGTACTTCAATGAACAGTGTATGGACTTGGTGACGATTGATCTAGTGATGATGGTCCCACGCGCGATGAGGAAACCTTGTTTGACTGCAATGTGAGATGGAGTCATAGGAAGAGGCTGTTCAATCTGAGGTTAACTTTGCGCATAGTCAAAGGCCGGAAGCCAACGGTTGTGAGGTCGGCTATGACGTAAGACTTTAGCGGGTCGACATTATGAGGTTATCCCGAGGTTCAGATAGCGGGGCACAGAAGATCATGTAAACCTATAGTGTGGTTCGATGATCACGATATTAGCGCAAATGTAAGGACAGTAGCATGAACATTTCAAATCGTAGATTGTAGAGCGGAGAAGTAAGCGGAGTGCTACCATCTCGCATCTCTAGACTATGGTACATTCATGACTCCACCATTATATCGTCCCTTCCACATCGTGTCCTGACCACCAGAGGATATCACTGTTTCGTTAATTCCGACGTGTACCAAGGATCCGTAAGGGTAATAAAACAAACGCTAATGTGAGAAGAGAAACCGTCGGAAAGTATGATACAGAGATGCTCAAACATGTGCAGGGACATGTACACGTCTAGACGTGACCTAAACCAGACCAATCATGACAGGATGCAAGACGCCTACTTTTGGACGTAACGAAGCGATCAACAAGAAAGACAAAAACCAGTGCTGAACGATCAAAGCATTTACTGCTTCTTCTCGCCCTCACCCTCAGGCTGCTGAGGCTGCTCGCTCTGGTTTTGGCTCTCGGAGCGGGCCTTGTGCATCTGGTCGAACAGGCTCAGGGAGGCGTTCTGGAGTTCGTCGGTCTTCTCCTTGATCTCAGCGGCGGTGGCAGAGCCCTCGCCAGACTGGCTCTGGGAGATGAACTCGCGCATGGAAGCGATCTTCTCCTTGATCTTCTCGGCCTCAGCCTTGTCGAGGCGGTCCTCGAACTCCTTGAGAGCCTTCTCAGTGTCGTTTACAACACTGTCAGCGCGGTTGGCAGCCTCGATGGAGTTCTTGCGCTCCTTGTCTTGCTCAGCGTACTGCTCAGAGTCCTTGACCATGTTCTCGATCTCAGCGTCTGAGAGACCAGATCCGGAAGCGATGGTGATGGACTGGTCCTTGTTGGTGGACTTGTCCTTGGCGTGAACGTGGACAATGGAGTCAGCGTCGATATCGAAGGTGACCTCAATTTGGGGTACACCACGGTGGGCCGGGGGAATGCCAACGAGCTGGAAGTTGCCGAGGAGCTTGTTGTCGCGGACAAGCTCACGCTCACCCTGGTAGACCTTGATCTCGACAGCGCTCTGGAAGTCAGCAGCGGTGGAGAAGACCTGAGACTTCTTGGTGGGGATAGTGGTGTTACGGTTGATCAAACGGGTGAAGACACCACCGAGGGTCTCAATACCGAGGGAGAGAGGAGTAACATCGAGCAGGAGGAGGTCAGTGACCTCACCAGCAAGGACAGCACCCTGGATAGCAGCACCAATGGCAACAGCCTCGTCGGGGTTGACCGACTTAGCGGGGTCACGGCCGAAGATGCTCTTGACAGACTCGGTAACCTTGGGCATACGGGTCATACCACCAACGAGGATAACCTCGGAAATGTCGGTAGCCTTCAAGTTGGCGTCCTTGAGGGCCTTGCGGACGGGCTCGACGGTGCGGGTGATGAGAGGGTCCATCATCTTCTCAAGCTGGGAGCGGGTGAGCTTGGTGTTGATGTGCTTGGGACCGGAAGCGTCGGCAGTGATGAAGGGCAGGTTGATGTCGGTCTGAGAGGAGGAAGACAGCTCGATCTTGGCCTTCTCAGCGGCCTCACGGATACGCTGGATGGCCATGCGGTCGCTGTTCAGGTCGATACCCTGCTCCCTCTTGAACTGGTCAACGAGGTGGCGGACGAGAGTGATGTCGAAGTCTTCACCTCCAAGGTGAGTGTCACCGTTGGTGGACTTGACCTCGAAGACACCAGCCTGGATCTCAAGAATGGAGATATCGAATGTTCCACCACCCAAGTCGTAGACAGCTACGACGTTGTCGGTGGCCTTGTCAAGACCGTAGGCGAGAGCGGCAGCGGTGGGTTCGTTGACGACACGGAGGACGTTGAGACCGGCGATTTGACCAGCATCCTTGGTGGCTTGACGCTGGGAGTCGTTGAAGTAGGCGGGGACGGTGACGACAGCGTTCTTGACGTTCTTGCCCATGTAGGACTCGGCGGTCTCCTTCATCTTTCCAAGGACGAAACCTCCGACCTGGGAAGGCGAGTACTTCTGTCCTTGGGCCTCGAGCCAGGCATCACCGTTGGTGTGCTGGACGATCTTGTATGGAACCTGCTGGATATCGCGCTGGACCTCAGCATCGGTGAACTTTCGGCCGATGAGACGCTTTGTAGCGAAAAGAGTGTTCTCGGGGTTGACGACAGCCTGGCGCTTAGCGGCGATACCGACGAGACGCTCGCCCTCCTTTGTGAAACCAACGACGGATGGGGTTGTGCGGCCACCTGTGGATTGGGTCAGCGGGATGGCCAATTTGGGTGAAAAACCAGATGAACGTACCCTCGGAGTTCTCAATGATGCGAGGAACCTTGCCCTCCATGACAGCGACGGCGGAGTTGGTGGTACCCAAGTCAATACCAATGACTGAGCCCTTGACCTTCTCCTCGCCGCCCTCAGCGTACCCGCGCGTGAACATGGCGGGGGCCCTGAAGGCGGGTGTGCGTCGCGCCGCCGAGGCCGCACGCGGCAAAAACTATGATGAGGTCAGAGAATGTCAAGTATATTTGGATGCATGCAATTGCTTACGGTCCGTGATAATCTTGAGGACAGCATTGTGGATGTGAGAGACGCTGCGGGAGGGGATGCAAGCGACAGAAGATTGGGTGCAGAGATGGATGGTGGGAGGGCGATGGTATATATGATGTAGTGATGGAAGCTTTGACGATGGACAAAATTCTCGGAGAAGATTCTAGCTCGTTTTGGTGTAAAATCGCCGCCCGAGGTTCCGCTGTTAATGTCTGTGCTTCCGAGTTGCTACGAACAATTGCGCATGCGACCTAACTCCGGAAGACGAGGCGAAATGCACTTTTTGCCAGTGGGCGCCGCTGGTGGATGACGCGATGACGGCCGCTGCATTCTGTGTCATGGCCCTCGCCGTGCGTCGCGGTGCTCAGGGCTTGGCGCATCTCGCTCGCGTGTGGGGAAGATGCTTGACCATGGTGACGCCTGGAGCACCGCGAGACACGGCGACTCTGCCAGCCCGCCCTACGACATATCCAACGCACGCCCATATACACCTAGAACCTAAGCACCCGCTGCATCTCGCCTTCGAACCTGTCTGCAGCCCCTCCTGTCAAAACCTCTAGCCTTCTGCGCTTAGACAACTGTGACGTAGAGTGCCTGCTGCTGCCGCTGAGCCTCACCGGCTCCACCCAGCATCGCAGAGACATGCGGCCTTCTCCTGCCTGACCGCAAACTATGGCCGTCGATGACTTCCTGAGCAGAGACACCGAGACCTTTGTCTTGGCTCACAAGGCGTACTACCCGACCAAGATCCCCATCGCGTGAGCGCCAGCCAGACACTGCAATACCATGGGTCGACGCTGACGGGTGCAGACACTATCAATTGCGCCACTTCATCTCGTGCCCCGAACCAGATCTCGTCTACTATGCGAG